TTATGGACTATTATATAATAAAGACATAACAAAAGTTAATAAATAAATACTTTTAAATAAAAGATTTATTTAAAATTTACTATCGTAGTTGTCTTAGTAGATAACATGCAATAATTTTTATTTTAATTACGACATAAAATACACTCAACTTAATGATTTATGATTAAGAAAAAAGTAATTTTGATAGTCAACGACTTATTAAGAAAATTTGAGGATTTACAAGGTTAGTTACACACAATTGCATAATGTTTTATTAGGCAATCCCAGTACGTCGGGCATTGGGCGTATCCGAGGCGTAAGTTCCGGCGGCTGAGGCATAAGTCTCATGGAACTAAGCCCCACACATAAGCTCAGGGGCGTTTTACGAGTGCTCTCTCCCCGAGCGAGTCCCAATTCTGCCTTTTAAAACAGAGATAAAACTTAGTAAATTAAATAAGAACATTCAAAAGTTCTAAGTCCAACCTTGAAATAATACCTCAAAAGATAAAATTATGAAATCTTTTAAGAAATATTTATAAATTACATCACAATAAGTATATTTATATATTAAATATATCTAAAATTTCTATATATGTAATGTCGGGTTGGTTTGGTCTCGGTTTGATTTTCTTTAGTTAAAACCAAACCAAACCAATTATGATCGGATTTTTTTCAAACACCAAATCAAATCAAACCAAACCATAATTAGATTTTTTTTCTCGGTTTGACTCAAATTATTGGGTTGATGCCGTTTGTCGGTTTTCTTCGTACACCCCTACTCTCCACCCTAACGGTTGCTCCAGATTGTGAGACAATTTTGTCCTCTATCAACATGTCAATTTATACCTTTCCCAAAATTTTAGAAACAATGAAATTGAACCTCTAATATTTTTCAACATGTTATAAATCTCCCCAAATAATTTTCCGTCTAAATTAAAGCAACGTCAGTGAGGAAAGTTTGTTAGACCTACTTGATTAATGGCAAGAAATTTTTGGGTCAAAAACGAAATAAATAACAAAGTTGTCCTGTCAATGGTGTTTGAGTTGGATAATATTTGAAAAAGAATAAAAGACTCTTGGAATTGAAGTAGCGATCTTGTAAAGATTTTGAACCCTCTTATCACTTAACTATATTTTTGGATTATGTCAGGGGATTCAGAATATAATATATAAATACAAAAAATAATTTTTTCCTTATATGTATAATGTAATATTCGGACAAAGAAGATTCGGATGAACCCCTTCCGCCCTCTAAATTCCCCCTGGATAGCCCACGTCAAAATTCTCTCAGAACGTGTGGCATTAACCAAATATAACAAAGTATATGTCATTTTTGAATAAAGAAAAAAAAAGTTGTCTTACGTATGTTCCCGGCAAATGCATGCCAAGTCAATTTACAAAGATATACTTAAACTATCACGCACAAACAAAAAGAAAGTCTTTTCTTGGCAAGCATCATCTTTTGTTCAAAATTTAGAAAATTCATGAAAAAGATAGTAATATTTTAGTACTATAAAACCTGGTAGTAGGGGTGTACATGGATCAGGTTACTTAAGTTTTTATCAAAATCAAGTCAAACCAACTATATCGATTTGGATTGGTTCGGTTTTGTCGGGGTTTTCGGATTTTTTTGTTACATGAATATTATTTCAATCTAACTTTGTTTAAGTTATAAATAGAGTTTTAGTGAATATATATTTAGTAAAAATTGAACAAACTGACTAACATATGATCAATTATTTTTAATAACACATGATAGTTATTTTCTTAATCGTTTAAAAATAATTTTTTGTTGATGTACGTATGCTTTAATTTTAAGGTTAACCGAATGTAATAATTAAACACAAAATTAACATTAAACCTAAATAATGATATGCTCTATTTAATTCTAAATTATTGAAATACCATTTCAAATTCGAAAAAGATATAAGAATTTAAGAGATGTTGAAATATGAATATGAAATAAGAAAGAGATTGACACATTTCAATAAGAGTTGATAAGAAAGTGACGATACAACCCATTATTTAAAGTAAATAAAAATAGATGCACTTCATAGTTCTATTAAATATTACATTCTTTGAGAGGATCCGAAATATTTTTATATATTTTTAAAGAAAATTCTATATAAAGTTTTAAAAGTATATATAAAATTATATATTTATATGTCGGTATGGTTCAAATTTTTATCCAATACCAAACCAAATCAAACCAAACTTCTGATTTTTTAATCGGTTTGGTTTGAATTTTCGGTTTGGTGCGCTTTTTTCGATTCGGTTTAAACACCCCAACCTCTAGGTGTAAAATAGAAATTAAAACCTGGCGAACATGGCGAAAGTCATCTAAAGGCTTGGCAGAGAAAAGATGAACAGAGCAAATTTTCCTAAGCATACGCCACCGTGGTCCGTAAGGTGCAAAGACAAGATCCTGAGAATTGTAAGCCAAGTGTTTTGTACACGAGTTCTGAGGGCGGCTCGAGAAGTTAGCGTCATGAGTTTTCAAGAACTGAGCCGCCACCGACGCCGACGCAGCAACCACCACGTCCACGAATCCCATCTTAAGGTGCATGAGTGGACCGTAAGTTCGAGCCATGGCTGCAATTGATTGGTGTGGCTTTGGACCCATATGGACTAGGTTTCCGATTATTGGCCATGGTTTTGGACCTGGTGGTAGTGGCAACGGGTAACGTTTGCGAAAAAATAAGGTGAGAATGGAATGTAGAAGGAAAGAGAAAATGACAGTGTAGAGAATTAGGGAAAAGATTGCCATTTGGTGATATGTAATGTAAGGAAGGAAAAGTTTGACAAAAATGTGAGTAGCTAACACAGACTATAAATAGAGAGAGGTCCATGCTACTCAAGGTGTACATGGAGCGGGTTAGTTCGATTTTTATCAAAATCAAACCAAATCAACTATATCGGTTTGGATTGGTCCAGTTTTGTCAGATTTTCGGGTTTTTTTGTTACATGAATATTATTTCAATCTTACTTTGTTAAAAGTATAGATAAAGCTTTGATTAATGAATATATGTTTAGTAAATATAAAAAAAAATGACAAACATATCATCTATTAAAATATTCTAATGGGAGAATTTTTTTAGTAACACATGATAATTATTTTCTTAGTCGTTTAACAATAATTTTTCGTTAATTTACGTTTTCAAAGTTAATACATGAGAGAATCTCAAATATTTCTATATTTTTTAAAGAAAAATCACTATAAAGTCTTAAAAATATAAATAAAATTTATATATTTATATGCCGGTTTGGTTCAAGATTTTTTACTCAATACCAAATCAAGTCAAACCAAACCTAATCGGGTTTTTCAATCGATTTGGTTTGATTTTTCGGTTCGGTTTGAACACCCCTAATGCTACTGTACTTGAATAGAAACGTTTGTTTTCCTTTTNACAAATGGTATATATAGATGACTAATTACTACTAAAAGATAGTGCTTTATGAAAATTTCCCTAAAAAATACGAAAGCTTACTCGCAATTCACTTTAAATTTTGTAAGTTTAACTTTTGTTAATATTTGTTGTTACTCCCTTCATCCAAATTATATGGTGAAGTTCGAATTTTGAGAGTTGAACGAATTTTTTTTTAATTGTAATTTGTTCACATGCCTTTTAGATATTTTAAATTGTTACAGATAGTGATGTCTAAATTTAAAGTCTAAATTTCCTCTATGTCTAAATTTACAGTCAAAATTAGAAATTTGACGCTCGATATCCAAGCATTGCCACATAAATTGAGATAGAGAAAAGTATTATAAAAATGGATAAATCATAGATGTATAATGTCCTGTATTCGTATTTCGTAACCGTTGGATCAATGGGAAAATAGCTTTTAAAAGTTGTTTTTTCCCTTCAATTTGATACTAATAAATTCTTCTCTAATAAGTACAAAAAATAGATTACTTTTAATCGGTTGAGTTGCTTGGTAATAGATAGTGTTTTAAAAAGCTTTTTCGGGCTCGAGTCAGGGCGGATTCGGCCCTTTGGTATCAAGTTCAACTGAACCCAGTATTTTCGTCGCGGAATAAAAATTTATGTGTAAAATTCATTACAATTGTAACAAATAGTAGATGTGAACCCATAATTTTAAACATATAATTGATTAATTACTAAAACTTTAAAGGTTGAACCCATAGAATTTAAATTTTGGATCCGCCTCTGGACATGACACTATCAAAACGATCGGAGGCTCACGTGTGGGACTTAGTTCTGTGAGGCTTACGCCTCAAACACCCAATTGTGCATCCGAAACATGTCTAAAGCTCAACCGCTTGGGGCTCGCCTAACTGTTCGTAACACAAATTATGTGTCAAATTCCCTAATTAACACCGTCGACATTCAAAATTCTTTTAACATATGAATGATAGAATTTTATTTATCTATAAAAATATAAAGATTGAGAGTAACTCAAAATAATAAGTCATGCAACAACAACAATAATAACCCAGTAAAATTCTATATGTGGGGTCTGGAGAGGGGAAGTGTGTGCGCATACCTTACCCCTACCCCGAGGGAGTAGAGAAGTTGTTTCCGATAGACCCTCGATTTAAGAAGACTAAAAATAATGAGTCATGGTATTACATATTTACAAACTAAGAATATCGCAATGGCATAAATTATTTGAATATTTTTTTAAAATAGATAGTCAAATTTACATCTTCAGTTACTATAGGTCTTGTACTAGTTCTGTGTCTCTAAAAATTATCAGGCTTTTATTATTTTGATATTTGCAAGCAAATTTATATTTACTTATAAGGAGTAATATTAAACTACAATGCTGATGAAGTTTAACTTTTAGAGAGGTAAACTATGTAGTTTGGTAATATTTTTAAAGAAATGATAATCTTTTAGTTGTTCAAAAGATAAAACGTTATAGTTGATTTTTATTTCATAGTAACTTTAACACTATTGTATTATTTATAAGATAATATTAGATATTTTTTTTTTAGTTATTTTAATTATTTTTTGTTTTCTTAAACCTTTAATGTACTTTATATGTTTGTGATTATTATGTTATTTTATTAATTTATAAATTAAAATATTTAAAGATCAATGGGGCGTAAACCCCTGTCTCGAGGCTTACGCTTCGTTCACGTTAAGTAAAATGCCACGCTTTACGTTGCCGCTCTTTAAAACACTGGTGGCAGATGAAACACGAAGCAGCTGCTAGCAGACAAGGAAAAAAAAAGGCTAGTGTACAGGCAGCAGCCTTTCTTGCTCGTTCATTTTGCCTATTCTATTACTAATATGTTCACTAGGACTTTAACTTAATTTAAGAGTAGAAATGCTACTTAATTTTCGTGAAGCCTATAGGCCGTAAACATTAATTTGACATCTAAATAATTAAATTGATGAATGGCCTACCCGTTTTTTCTTTCAGAAAAGATCAACACCTGGGCTATAAGGTGTAAATAACCATAAATTGAACTTTTTATGTCAATTATAAGGTTAGGTTATCATGCGTGTATTGGTGGAACAAAGATATGACACGTGGACTACCATCAAGGTGAGGACTATCAACAAGGTAACAAGTGGCATGTTCAATTAGACGAATTAAAGAATTTAAGAAGGCACTAGAGAAACACCCCCGGGTTTTCTCTAAGAAAGGAACCGGTTTTGACAGCTGGAAAAGAAGTAGGAACAGAATGGATAAAGAACACTAAAGAGAGAAGATGCACGAATCTATTATAAACAAGGAAGGGAAATCAACATTAATCGTGGTTAAGAGAAATCTTCAATCATAAATGCTTCCGTTATAATTATACATGGTAACAGCCTAACAGGTAATCAATGCAATTAATGTCATTAACAAGCCCGAATTAAGTATGAAAATCGTTATAATTATGTACTCCTATATAAAGGTCTGGTCCTCATTTGTAATGATATGTGATTTTTATTGATTATATTCAATTATTCTTTACTTTATTCATAAGGTTCCAACCGCAGTTCTGGGAGAGATTATCAATCTGCTTTGAATTTTATTTCCTTGTCAATTATTTCCATTATTTGTCTTATTCTTCTAATTATTGAGAAAGTGAAGTAAATTTTGGTTATCACTAATCCAATTTCTTCTTGATATTGACTTTGACCGAGAAATCTAATTTTGGGATAAACAAATTGGTTTCATTACCAGAAATCTAATAATCTGTTCACTTTCCAAACTATATTTTTAACGAACAAATATGTCAACTGCTAACGAGAACAACCAGCTGAACCAACAAGGTGGAACTCCACCACATCACACACCTACGGGAACTCCTCAGTAATCCCGTAAAAATTCACCTGAAAGGTCTGTTTCGTGCACTGATGGACAACATGGAGATGACCGAACCGTTGAGTAGGATGCTCTGAAGCAGTTGATTGCAGAACATGTGAACGCATTGCAGGCTTTTGTTAGAGGATTACCTAGCACAGCACAAACTCCACCACCAGTTAGTATAACAACTTTGGAGAATTCACGTTCGAGACTTGATAACTCTAAAAGTGGAGAAATACCCAATGAATCTCGCGATGGAGGGTCAGGTACACCAAAGGCTTGGATATCAACAAATATTCACAACAACCCTGGAAGGTAAGTGCAGTGCCTTTGGCGATTCCCAAAAAGTTTAAAATGCCTGATATTTTCAATTATGATGGTCCGGCCCACGGGATCATGTAACCGCGTTCACTATCGGCTTGAAGGGTATTGATTTAACCAAGCAGGAGATTGAATCAGTTTTGGTTTAAAAGTTTAGTATAACTCTCACAAAAGGGGCGCTAATATGGTGCTCTCTCTTACATGAAAATTCCATTGATTCTTTTGCTGAGCTTGCAGATTCATTTATAAAGGCACATTCAGGGGCTCAAAAAGTTGAAAAAAAGGATGGAATATATCTTCAAAGTTAAACAAAGGAGTATAGAATTGCTCAGAGAATTTGTAGATAGATTCCAATGAGAGAGGATGCTACTGTTGTGAGTACCTGATAACTGGTCGGCTATGGCGTTCGCGAGCAACTTGAACGAGAAAAGTTCAGAATCCATGAGGAGGTTGAAAGAAAGTTTGCCAGAATTTCTTGCAACAACTTGAAATGATGTGTACAATTGATATAGCATAAAGTTGCGGATAGAAGAAGATATGGTTGCACTACCGAGGGTTGACGAAAGATCAGGTTCGAGATGCTCGAAATCAGAGAGAAGGTCTGGTAAAAATAGGTACGAGCCTTACATGGGATCCGTGGGGCGAGATTCTTGACCTAAACAAGAGAATGCACGATTTGATTCAAGGTCAAGGCAAAAAAGGCGAGTTCTTCATCCAAGTTAAAAAAGGAGCACGATGCCCAAAGCAATGACTCCGGTACTCAAGCGCGAATAGGAGATTATAGCTTTAACATTAGCACCTTTGAATTGGTAGCTGTTCTAAGAGGGATAGGAGATAAGGTGCGATGGCTGAAAGAGATAAGATCTGATATAAACAAAAGGAATCCAAATTTCTGGTACGAGTTTCACAATGACCATGGCCATAGAACAGAGGGGAGGTTGAACATTTACTAAAGCAGGGATATCTTACTTATCTATTCAGTGAGAAAGAAAGACAATCATACATGAAAAATAGGCAAGAACCCCTAAAGCCTCCATCACCAAAGAGGACAGTCAATGTTATAACCGGAGGATATGAAGTAAATAGAGTAACATACACAGCCGCGAAAAAGACATCAAAAGTCATTGTCACTCATAGAAAGTAAGTTCGCCAAGTCTTAGATGGTAATAGTATAATGTTTGATGATGAAGATGCGGACGACTTGATGATTCCACACAAC